CCATCTCGCGGCATTCGTTGATCGGGGATTCTATTGGCATAATTACACTTTCACCATTTTCTGCTAATTAATAGAAAATAATGCAATAAACTGTATTAATTGTATTAATGTATTTTCGGTTCCTATTTATGTCATTTTCGACCTTGTTCACATTAAAATAACATCCTCGCTACATCCTCGTAACAGCGAGGATACTAAGTTGCCAGGGTCTTCAGCCAAATAGCATCGATCTGAGCTAATGATAATCCTATGGCATCCTATGAAATACCCTATGAATACAGCAAGTATCGTATCGCATCTCAATGATAACTCATTTCAATTCTTCTAGTGTTTTGTTGACATGTTTAGCCACATGTAGGGTAAACAGGTCAATTTCTGGACGGGGGTTAGTTTCTAGACGATTTCAACTTGCATTGAATATTCCACAAATAAAATGAAAATTGTATTGATTATTTCACCTCTCCATAATATCACTTGTGTATAATCATGTGATCAATTATTTTCTTCTATTGATCAACATTTAATAAATAAATAAAAATATGACCCAGTCGTCCAGAAATGGGGGGTTTCAACTACATTCAACTATTTCTCAATTTAATTATTCTTTGTTTTATTATTTTCACTTTAAACAATTTTTTTCTGCTAATTAAAACATTCTTGAAGGTATGCACGTAGGAAAAAATCGTATAGAATCTTTCTATACGGACTGTGTATAGCATTTCTATAGGTTTTTCGTATATGATATTCGGATATTTCTATACGAAAATTTCCTATACGGTTCATTTCTATACGAATTTCTACACGAATTCGTATAGAAATAATCCGTATAGGGAATTTTTGTATAGAAATATCCGAATATCATTTACGAAAAACCTATAGAAATTCTATACGCAAATTGTATAGAAACTTTCTATACGATTTTTTCATACGTGTGGAAGCCATCATATCCCCATTTAGGTGATTCTTTTATTTTAGATCCTACCACGAAACTCGAATTTCCTTTAATTGTCCAGGAATTGCCCTGGTCACCCTAGATGAACAAAGCCATACAGTGTAATCACTTTATCGTGTCTTTAAGCATGAAACGGCCATCTTGATTGGTTAAAATGATGAATGCTGAATTTTTGCAACTTTACCTCTTTAATTTGTTTTGACTAATCACGGCGTCTTTCATTTCTCAAATCCAAATAATTATTTTTGACACGTTCAAATTATTTTTGACACGCAGTTCGTGAAGCCTCGGTTCACGCACGCTGCGTGTGCTAAAAAGCCACTCACGAACGTCGTCACAAAAATATGCTCGTCACCATGTCGTGAATATGCGTGCAGAACTCGCGTTCCGCTCGTCCTGCAACCACATATTCACCAAAAAAATTGCCTTCGCCACAGTGAAGAAAAATACTATTGTGAAGTTTTTTTAAATTGAGGTAAAGAAGTATAACGTCCGGAAAATTTTGTTTTGTAGACAAGAATCTTGACATTTTGATGTAGTAAAAAATCGTAATGACCGAGTGATCTATATCAAATTTGAAGTAATGAGCAGTTTGTTCATATGTCTTTGGTAGTTAAAGAATAATGTTAATCACATGATCGATGGAAAAAGGCAAAATATGTTTGAAGTAGCTAGGATATTATAATTTTAAAATAACCTAGGGCATTCTATACGAGTAAATTTAAATGGATCATATTTACTATAAGCATCGATTATATATAGTGAGTGATGACTTCCAGCTACACATTTTCCGGAATTAAAATTTGTAAAAATTGTTCCGTAAGTGTTGCGTTTAAAGCAAACAAGTGGGGAATTGCTCTGGTATCGGATATAGTATAGCTTTCTTTGCTAATAAATTAGCAATGTTTCCGAATGGTCACTTCATATATTATTTTCTCTATCGTATGTAATTCATACTTTTTTCATTTCATTGGATTGCATAATTTTCTTCTCAATTCATTGTGTTGAATTTTCTACTTGAGTAAATTCTACCATGATTATTTTTTCCTATTTTTTATAATTTTTATTTTTCATTTTTATTATGAGCGGAAATTAGTTTTGGTTTTGAAATTCTTATTTCGGATCGTAATGGGTTACACGCACTTTAATCCACTCTTACTGGTCGCATTTTAACCCAGAGCCAGCGCAGCGGACTGACACTGAATTCTAATATTTTTCAACAGGTTCATTTTTTCTATAAACTAGGTTTAGGAATGAATACTTCAAAATTTCCAAATATCATCATAAAAATCAAATTAATCAAGGCAGTTATCATAACCACCTTGCAACTTAGACTTGCTGGCATCCAAAGGAACATTTTAGTCTATTATTGAATCCATTTGAAGCCTAGTCTATAAAGACATCGATGAAATTTGAAAAGAAAACGAATTTTCAAAAAAATTGGAATAACGATTATTGCTATCACCTTCATGTTCGAACTCAGTCAAGGGGACATGGAAAGAAATTTTTTGAGCCGTTATTTAATTCATTCCGAACGTTTTTTTTTAGTTATCGTAAAAAAACAATTTTTGAAAAAATTCAAAAATGAAAAAAATCAATCAATGAATTGAATTTTAATCAATGGTTATTGATAGGACCCAATAATACCTACATTTGGAAAAAATAAAAATTCAATTCCATCGATTCATTAGCGAGCAATCGAAGAAAATCGAAGAAAAAATTTGATACATACACACACACACATATGTACATACGTTCGGACACGATCTAAAAATTGCATTTTCGGACTCGTTGGATCACATTGGGTTGATATAACATGAAAAATCAAAAACTTAAATTTGACCGATTACAATGCTTCCATTCGAAAGCAAAAAACATGAAATTTAACGAATCTAGAGGTAATCGATGTAATAAAAAAGACGATATTTAAAGACGATTTTAGATTTTAAAGTTTATGCAGAGCACTTTCATGTTTAAATAACCGTATATCGTCTCTGACAAACTTATATCACTTATGGCATTCATGTTGAAGGGTGAAAAATAATTCAAGTTCCTGATGTTCTATTCATTCTTTCGAAACAAATCAATTCCCAAATTTTCAGCATGTTGAAAAATATGAAGAAAATAGCTATATAACTTTTTCATTCTCTAATCCATCTAACCTACTTATGAAGTTATTGATTCACAAAATCTCCGGGGATATTCCATATTCACTCACAGCATTTACCCCTAAAATTACCGTTCCCGCCACAAAATATTCCTACACTCCAACGCCAAAATTTAGTGATTTACATTGCTCCATATCAGAATTGTCCTCTTTCCGGAGTCTACTACTGGAATTCATGCATTGACTCCCACCTTCCGTTAATCCCCGAAAAACATTTTCCCAGTGGAAAATGGAGCAGTAAACCAGAAAGGGAAAACGTTTAATACAATCTATAGTTCGTACGACTCTTTTCCGAAATCCCCCAGAGTGGAAGAGCATTCAAGATTGTTTCAGATGGTTTCAAAACTTCTACTCCTAACCTTTTGTGAGTCAGACATATTCCTGAGTGTCTTCGAAATTACAAAGTGCACTCTGACATTAATGCAGTACTTTTAGCTAACTAATTGTTACTTGAAAGATATGCACAGTTGCAGAATCTAGAATTGGAGGGTAGTTAACATATAATCAGTGAATGGGAACATTCCCTTCAATGGTCGGGGGTATAAATAACTGTTGTTAAGAGAATAAGAAAATTGTTCAATCTACGTTTTTTCATTGGAAGAGATAGAGCCACTGGTTTCATTCAGATTATTTCTTAAATGTCTTTGAAACCACTAGGTTTGCAAAACATTTTTAAAGAGTTTTGTTACTCCACGCGTTTTTTTTTCAGAAAATGACTTATGCGATTTCTTTTCATCCTTTTTCCCAAAGGTATTTACGAAATCGTCTGTATATTTCTGAAGAATGTCTGTACTGCGATAATGTTATTTTTACTTTGACCCTGATCCATTCAGTTGTAATAAGAAATAAATGGGATGGGAGAGAAAGGAAATTGAATGGCCAACTGATCCACAAATTGTAAATTCACTGATCTTAGTCATCATCAAATAGCTTCTAATGGATTGATTTCTATAATTGGTCTAACGCTGCATCTAGAGTTGATACGAAAGTAAAATGGAGAATCAGTAAATGGAAAAGAAATAAAAATTCCCGAGTCCTTTTGATAATGGTGTGATAAATGTTTAAGAGTAAGGACATTCGAAATTCCCGAAGTTGAATGAAATAGGAAGCAAACCATTAACAAAGAAATAGAAAATCAATTATCAGATGAGTTATATAATTCAAGCCGCCAATAATCCCGATTCTAATACAAACAATAATTATTGAAATAATTATCACACCTAGGCACATACTGATATCAACCAAATATCAGAATTATCCTCCTCAATCCTCAATCAACAATCGATCCATAATGAATATTATCCGTGTCACAAATTTCAAAAAATACTCAAGATTAATTTATCCCTTTAAAATTTAATTAATAAGTGGTACACAAAAAATTGACAAAAATACGTGGCAAAAAATAAAATAAAAAAATACTCAAGCTAACCGAAATAATCAAAACTCCAGAGGCCGACCGTTTCTTATCGTAACCGAATCGCACGAAACCGACTCCTATTCTATTATATTCCTTTGACTAGCTACATCTTCCTCTTGTTGAAGTAGAATGTAGAGTAGTAGAGTACGTATTGCCATGTGTCCAATGAGGCCGATTCCTCATGAGCACCTCTGCCGCTGAGCTCACTCCTGATCACATTTAGGCCTCGCCTCGTTGATTTGAAAACGATTTGAAAGGCGTGATAGTTCAAATGAAACAACATAACATCCCTTAAAAAATTCCGTATAAGGCTTTCTGTCGCCGATCTATTGGGCTATAATTTAGTCATACTAATGCTGGAAGGTTTACTTATATATATTTATAAGCATCCTTGTACAGATCTATAGCTCCAACTGTATCGATATCTACAGTTATATACAAAACGTCTAGCTATAGCTGGAGGTATGAGTATAGGTACCGATACAGTCTCACGACAATCAAAGACAACTGGCAAAAGACTTTTTATGTTCGAAATTCTCACAGCGATAAAAAAAATTCTTTAAGAAATCCCCACCAACATTAAGTATTACGACTTACGAGAATGATTCAATTTTGCCGATAAAAAATGAAAGGTCAAATGTCTTTTTTTTTCAGCATCAGGTTCAGGATCGGTGATAGGTCGGGACCCATTGCCTCCACGCGCAGTCAGCACCTCGCAACTGTCTCAAACAACTCTCACTCAGCCACCATCTTTGGTGTCGACTCTCCCCCTGGCGCGTGCCAATGGACGCCAGCAGATCACCGGGGTACTTCCGGTCCATCAGTCGACCCCTCAACCAACATCAGCGCGACTTCCTGCAACCGGCGGTAACGACAGTGATTCGTCAATTTGTCGTGACACCAGCATCGCCGACGTCCGGTCATCATCCTCAATGTAAACATCAATTACTACATCCATCAGTCAATATTTTGAGTGGATTGGAATTTTCATTAATCGATCGGTTACATTTCCAGGGTGAACAATGAGGCATCGAGGATTTCCCCGAGTGATACGACCCAGCGCCTCGTCAGCCCAGCGAGGAACTTCCGCGTTGTATCGCCAATCGATCATCGAGTTTCAAGCCCGAGCGACAGCGAGAGACACATTCACAGCCCCTGTGAGTTTTAAATACATATTGCATTATTTATGGTGTGAAAGATACTCGAAAATACTTGGGTGTGGAGTGAAGAAATCAATCTCGAATTGAGAATATCGTTATTACTCAATTCAATTCTTTATTTCCTTGATGTTACAAAAGTTTTTCTGCGCTTTACATCTACACATGCCTCCTTCTAGGTTCATCATAGAACTGAGTCTATAAGCCTCTCCTCCTTCACAGAACAATAACAATAATTTTTATAAAATTCAAATAATTATAAGAAATTTGCCTTGCGTCTCCATCTCAAGTAAATAATAACACGAAGATAAGCAGATCTTGCTAGAAGCCAACGTGGACATCTACATGGTTTTGAAACATTTTGAAGGACATTCGCAAATAATTTATGGAAATTTTCACACATGACAACATGTCACAATCATGCTGAAAGATCCGTCTCCGATGATCAGTCCTTCCGCTGGTCCGGTTCTACCCGCATTCCCGATGTTTCTTTGAGTCTCTCCCATCCCTGTTGGAGCCATTTCCATCCTCCAACATCGTTAACCATTCCTTCTTTCGCCGCCCTTTTCGATTTCCAGTTCTTTTGATCAATACATGCCTCTCAAGGTCTTCTTCAATGATGATACTGCCATATCGCCAAAATTAAATTTTCTCTCCAAGACGTCCATCTCAGCCTCGCCATCGTTACATCCCGAGTAGGAATTTTAGAACTTGGCTGGTCAGGCCCTGGTCCGCTGTGCCGTAGAAACGAGCCGGCCCTGTTACGGTTACCACATTAGCGCCTGATAGGAAATGTAACGCAAAGCATGATCAAGACCTGATTTCTAAGCCTGATAAAGGCCGTGACAGGCAGCCGGTTTCGCCCTTACCTGGCATAGACTTTGCTACAAATTAAGGATGCCAAGTGGGTCAAGTGCACAACTAAATTGATCATTTTTTTCAAAAACCTTGCATAATAAATTGTGTTAACTTGATTAATTCATCTCGCCAATTTATATTCAAATTGAGTTGGGATGTAATATACATGTAAAATTTTATTTTGATTTTTTCGACCAAAAAATATTTGTTTTATTGACTAAATGGTGATATCCGGTGGGAATCGTGGCAACACCGCTACTGTCAGCTGATGGTAGAAGCGCGAGAGTTTGTTGATATTCGAACGTGTGTTGGAGGTTATACATGCCTGTGAACAAACCATGGCCTCAGACAAAAATAAAAATTTATTGCGTGACAAAAGGGGGCAGTTTATCTTCCAAAAATGTAAAATTTGTGAAACCAGGTCTCGAGAGGGCATGAAAAATTATCATGAGCAACAAAAATTACTGAAAGAAAGTGCAAAAAAATCAGAATCAAGAAAACCGAAGGAAGAATCGAACGAAGAACCTTTCATTTTCCACGGACGGCGTGTAGTAGAACTTGATACGCTAGGTGATAATGAAAACACCGTCATTTTCTTAATCACCCATCCCTCACCCCCAGACTCCAATATTCCTTTATTCTCTCCACTACTCATTAATATATCCAGATTCAATCTAATGAATTTTTTAAGAGGGAAATGTCGAGAAACACATTGTGTTGGACATTTGGCTAGCCATAACAAGATCCATTGAAATGATTTCCCGAGATGAGTAGATGCTGAGACCAATGTTCTTTCGCACAATTCATTTGAAATTCAATTATAAACATCATTCGAGTCTCATTGATTGATAATTACGTTCGAAATCCTAAAATTCACTTTGAAAAAACATCCATCATGAGTGACAGGTAGGGTTATGTTGACGGGAGGTGTACAAGCGGAGTAGGACAGCTGTGTGCGCTGTTGTCGCCTATCATCCATTTTGCTACGAGCGATTTTTTTCCCCGGAAGTGAGTCGAAAAATTAATATTTCATTCTTATTTGCCCCGGTTCCTCTGATTTTGCCCGGATCAATCGATTCAGCTTTTTTTTACATTTTTTCCATATTTTTCGGGATTTTTCATGAATTTCTAAATTGGCCAATCTTTTATTTTAGTGCATAACCGCATAAGAGCCAATGCTGGATCTTCAAATTTTGTTTATGTAAATTCTCAATAATTAATACCGGTTGAAAGGTCAAAATTGTCATCTAAATTTTTTGAATATTTCTCGCTATTACAGGAAAAAAAATGAATTTCTGCTGATTTATTAAACATTTTCACTTGGCACCCTTAATGAATTGCTAACGCAATTATTAAATTGGGCCAAAAATGAAGAATAAATGAATAAATAAATAGTGGTCCCAGAATAGGCGGGTCGAGAAAAAAAGAAAAAAAATCACCCAGAGACGGACTTGAACTCTGGACCCTCTGCGTAATAGTTCTGTACCCTATCACCCCCGTCAAGTTAGCGGCGCAATGTTGAAAATCCGCCATTTTTTTTGTCCTGAATTATAAGCTAATTACGGGCTTTTTTCTGGTGTAATTAAATAATTTGTGGTTTTAATGGTATAGACAATATACGCGGATGAATATTCCAGGTCATTGACCTGCGCGGATATTAAATAAGATACTATTTTTTACTCTTTGGAAATTTTGAATCAGGGAATCATAGTGACCAGCATTAATAAAGCGATGAAGTCTCGTTGTACTTTCATTTTTCTTTATAACCATTTAAGGCGGGCTATATGGAACTCGGAAAAAACAATTGAGTAATCATTGCATATCCATCTGGTTGACCGACACTTGCCGTGATCCCCTCTCCAAGACTAACGATCAATGCGCAGTGCTATTGGTGCCATGTTTATTTATTTGATCATAAAAATGCCGGGCTATATGGAACTCCTTGAGAACATTATGAAATGAGTCACTTGGGGCTGACACATGCCCTCAATATCCGAGATCATTGACCTACCCCGAAATTAGATGACGTATAAACTTTTGCCAATAGTTCAGGTGCCGGGCTATTCAGAACCCTAAAAAAAATTCCGAAATAATTGAATGAACTCTTTGGAAAATTTGATTCAGGGAAAAATAGTGATCAGCATCACTAACGCGATGAAGTCTCGTTGTACTTTCATTTTTCTTCATGACCATTTAAGGCGGGCTATATGGAACTCGGAAAATAAAATTGAATAATCAAGGCATATCCATCTGGTTGACCGATATTTGCCGTGATCCCCTCTACAAGATTAACCATCAATGCACAGTGCTATTGGTGCCATGTTTATTTATTTGATTGTAAAAAATGCCAGGCTGGTTTTCAACTCTGGTTTCGAAATGAAAACCAGAGTTGAAGACCAGAGTTTATAACAGTGATGTCAGACAAGATATGAATGTTTTTTTGGGCTCCATTGAAAGAGCGGCTCGAGAAATGGCGTGCTGATGCCTCTAAAGATGGGTTTGAACCAGGGGAGACTCCTAGACCCCACTGGACAATGTGGTCACAACTCTGCTTTTCAATTGAAAACAAACGTCATTTTTAGAGACATTTGTCATGTTTAGAGAAATCAGCACGCCATTTCTTGAGCCGCTCTTTCATTTGAGCCAAAAAAAACAGTCATATCTTGTCCGACATCGCTGTTACAAACTCTGATTTTCAACTCTGGTTTTAAATTGAAAACCAGAGTTTCATGCACCTGAACAATTGGCAACAGTTTATACGTCATCTAATTTCAGGGTGTGTTAATGATCTCGGATATTGAGGGCATGTGACAGCCCCGAGTGACTCATTTCATAATTTTCTCAAGGTGTTCCATATAGCCCGGCATTTTTTATGATCAAATAAATAAACATGGCACCACTAGCACTTCGCATTGATCGTTAGTCCTGGAGAGGGGATCACGGCAAATGTCGCTCAATCAGATAGATATGCATTGATTATTCAATTTTTTTTCCGAGTTCCATATAGCCCGCCTTAAATGGTCATGAAGAAAAATGAATGTATAACGAGACTTCATCGCGTTAGTGATGCTGATCACTATTTTTCCCCGAATCAAATTTTGCAAAGAATTTATTCAATTATTTTGGAATTTTCTTTAGGGTTCTGAAAAGCCCGGCACCTGAACTATTTGCAAAAGATTATACGTCATCTAATTTCGGGGTAGATCAACAATCTCGGATATTGAGGGCATGTGACAGCCTCGAGTGACTCATTTTATAATTTTCTCAAGGTGTTCCATATAGCCCGGCATTTTTTATGATCAAATAAATAAACACGATATCAATAGCACTGCATTGATCGTTAGTCTTGAAGAGGGGACCACGGCAAATGTCGGTCAACCAGATGGATATGCAGTGATTATTCAATTGTTTTTTCCGAGTTCCATATAGCACGTCTTAAATGCTTACAAAGAAAAATGAAAGTAAAACGAGACTTCATCGCATTAATGATGCTGGTCACTATGATTCCCTCATTCAAAATTCCCAAAGAGTTCAGTTGATTTTTTTTAAATTTTGTTTAGAGTTATGAATAGCCCGGCACCTGAACTATTGGCAAAAGATTTTATGTCATATAATTTCGGGGTAGGTCAATGATCTCGGATATTGAGGGCATGTGACAGCCCCGAGTGACTCATTTCATAATTTTCTCAAAGAGTTCCATATAGCCCGGAATTTTTTATGATCAAATAAATAAACATAGCACCAATAGCACTTCGCATTGATCGTTTGTCCTGGAGAGGGGATCACGGCAAATGTCGGTCAACCAGATGGATATGCGATTATTCAATTTTTTTTTCCGAGTTCCATAAACCCCGCCTTAAATGGTCATGAAGAAAACTGAAAGTACAACGAGATCACATCGCATTAGTGATGCTGATCACTATTTTTTCCCGAATCAAATTTTCCAAAGAGTTCATTCAATTATTTTGGAATTTTCTTTAGGGTTCTGAATAGCCCGGCACCTGAACTATTGGCAAAAGATTATATGTCATCTAATTTCGAGGTAGGTCAATGATCTCGGATATTGAGGGCATGTGACAGCCCCGAGTGACTCATTTCATAATTTTCTCAAGGAGTTCCATATAGCCCGGCATTTTTTATGA